ACAAAACAAATACAGTCCTCAACAGTAGGTCAGATGCTAAAAATCATGAAAGGAAAATTCTTCTTACCTATGACCATCTTACTGCATTCATTCAGAAGTGTAATAGAGCGGTGATTCATGGCAGCTAAAGCCTCAAACATGTGCTGGCTATTCAAATCAGAAAATCTGTCTAATTCTCTCAAGGCTTTCATCTAAAGAAAATAAAACTTTATAATTTGTGGCAAAGTAAATTAGACTTTTCAGTAAAAAGGATAAAGTCTGAGCAAAATGACTCAGAGATACACAGATTAAATACATATATTTGAATGTACAAAAAATAAAAATCTACACCTGTTATTTCATTTTAGCAAAGTTATAACCCAAAAGCACAACAATGTCCTCCTAAAAAACTGACTTTAGGAACTGATAACAGGTCATAAGAAGTATTTTTTTTTCAAATCTTGCCCACTAGAGAAAACTTAAAATATGGTTACCTCCAGTTTCCTTTTAAGAGCAATTGGTGCATCTTTCCCAACACATTTCATCACAGCTTGTAATGTGAAGACACGTTCAATTTTCCAGACTTGCTGATTAGCTAGTATCCTGTAATTACATACAATAAATACCACAATCTAGTATCTGAAAACCAAATTACCTTAGAAGTCATTTGGTCCTGCTCCTAATTCTAGGCAGGGAAGATGAAGCCCATAAAATAATCTGCCTGCCCATGGAGCAATGTAAGTACTTAAAGATGCAGGGCCAGCCTAGCACTATGTCGTCTCACATTATTCTGCTATCATTATGAATAAATAAATCACATCAGATTATAATAAGATATCCCAATGCACAGTCAATGAAAAAGGAAATAAGTACTATCCTCACAGACCTATGACAATAAATCAGTTGCACCAATTCTGTAAATCATAAAACTCAAGCCCCCTTTCAGGCCAGGTCAGCATCGTGTAACCTCCTCATAGTGCCCAAATAACCGTGATGAGCTGAACACAAGTCAATTCTCTCCCAGCCCACATCAGTACTATGTTTTAGATCAATTTAGAATTATCAGTATTACCCACACTTTTTTTTAAATGGTTGACCCTAAAAGAAGTATTATTTCTAGGTTTAGCTTTACTAGATCCAGAGTCAGGATCTGAAGTTTAAGAAGGTACTGAAGACCTTCCAAAAAGGACCCCCACCCAAAAAAGGCAGGTCAGCTTTCACCTTGGTTTTTGACTGGAGATATAAAAGCAATAGAGAACACTACGTGAAGAACGATTAAGAGAGGACTCACCGCACTCCTGCTCGAAGAACATCCACATTCTTGCATGGCTCCATTGCCTCTAAAATAGTTGACAAAACTGAAAGACATTTCTCATCACACTCATTGATACGTTCCTATTGAAATATAATTACAAGAACACTGCAGATGACAAGCCAAGAGCAGACTATCTCACCTAAGCAAAACTACTGAACTGATACTTTCAATGAAATGTCTAAGTATCAAACCAATTAATTCATGGTCAGCTCACAAGAAACGACGTCTTTGGGAAGTAAAATGTCTTATGTAGTGAATTTTCCAAATAACCAACACACACTTTTGTGCATCTACACTTTTTTTTCATTCATCATTATCACCGAAAATCCATTTGATATTGATTATATTCTTCTGCTTCTGAAATAACTTCAAACATTACTTTTACTTCTTAGGACTCAAGTTCAGCACGAAGACAACAAATGCAGTGATGTAAGAGCTACTGAGGTATACATGGCAATCTGTCCATCCCTAAAGAAACTTAGATAGCTGTTCTCTTATAATTTCTCTCTGTCCTCTCCTGGGTATCATACTGTAACTTCAGCTGTGAATCTTCCCATCCACATCTGCTATCACATTTTACCACTGGGTCTCAAGGGCAGTGGCCAGGCCCCAGATCCCTCTTTCAGATCTCCTGGGTTAGGGTACTGATCTAGATTCTAGAAATGGCAGTGGGAATAATTCAGAAAGTTAATAGTAACAACACAGCTTACCTAGCGCTCTACAATTTAATCACAACTAGTTCATATACCTCACAAGAGTAGTTGTGATCACATATGAGAAAACCTAGGCTGAAAGAGGTATGTTCCTCTGTTAAAATGGCATGACTAACAAGGCACAAAGTTTTAGGTCAGGACCAGGTAATGAGAAGAAATGGATAAGGCTGAAAGAAAAAGAAAGGTCTCATTCCCATGGGAGGGTTTCCATTTCAATTTACAACATTCCATCATCATCTGCGGTGAAAGGAAAGACCAAGTAACTGAAGGGCAAATTCACTAATGACATACTGAGCTTTCATCTCCAGCTAAGGAGGATGATATGAGACAATTCTGCTTTCCAACTTTGTATATCTCTGCCTCAAACACTAACCCTGTATTCTCCTCCCTTGTCTTTTCTTCCCATTATGAAGGCCTTCTCCTGACTAAGCTGTAAGTCTGTTATACACTCGTACAAGACTCTATTTTTCTTTCACTGCACTCAAAGCTCTATGTGGCCACTATTTTGTTCATAATTATATTCCCTTGTGTTCAGCACAGTGCCTATAATGTAGTAAATGTATGACTTATCAAAGCAATGTTAGTTATTTTTGTAATTGCCTACAAAATATTTGTCTTCCCTCCTACATAGGGAAAACAGGACTCATGTCTCCTAAATCTTTCTCTCTAGTAGCAAGAACAGTAACTGATACATTACTGACACCAAATAAATGTTTATTGTATAAATAAATGAATCCACTAGCTGTTTGACATTGGCCAAGTTGTTTAACATTACTAAGTCGTTTCTTCATCTGCAAAACTGAGGTAAATATTGACCTTGCGGGGCTATTGAGGATTAAGTAAGTAAAAAGCGCAGGTACTCAATAAATATTAGTTCTCCCCTCTTCCCTACCCTCAACTAACCAACACTTCCTTGTATGTTTGTATCTCTCCTCATTTTATTACTCACTATTGGTCAACTATGGAGAAGAAAAAACCAGCATAAGCTTTCATAGATTTCCATAGCAAAAGGAAGGAAAGGCCTAGTCAACTTAAAGTCTCTAAATGAGATATATGCAAAAACAAATATAAACTACCATTCCACTGATACGGAGGATACATCTCTATTTCCCCTCAGTCTCTCAAAGTATGCCAAATCGAGTAAGATGATATTTAAGTAGCATTTTGATGTTACCTGGACCACCCTCAGCAAAGTCTGTACCAGCAAAGTGTTCTGAGGAATTCCCAGCTTCACTATAGCAAGAAGACTGAACAGCAGGTGGTCATAGCGCATGATCTTGGCTTCTCTCATCATTTGTTCACACAGTTGGCTAAATGCAGGGTGGTTAAACATCAGTTGTTTCTCAATGCGTTTCTGGTCCTCAGACATCCTTTTGGCAATTGTCCACATTGAGGAAAGATAGTTACTGCTGGGAAAAGTAGGTGCTTCTGAAAATATATCTAACACATCACTCAGGGAACTACACTCCTGAGACAGTTTTCTATAGTTGACAGGGGTTGGCTTTGTTTCCTTGGTGAGAACATCTTCATTGGAGGCCTCCTGATAAAAGTTTATCTTCAACCCATCATCCGAGGCAAGAGAGTGTTTTGAATCAAAGGACAGTCTTCTAGGACAAAGCACTCTGGTAACTGTAAGGACTGTTTCAGTGCTTACGCCCTTTGTTTGAAAGTCATCTCTTGATTTTAAAATTAAGGCATCCTGAAAAAGGTATCTAATAGATGACTGCACTCTATTGCCAAAGTCACTTAAGAGAAAGCTTCTTAGGTTTGAATTGTTTGAAAAAACAACTTTTAGTCTGGAAAATCCCAAAGGAGACAGCCTCATAGTTCTGCTTGTTGGAACGGCAGTACTGAATTGTCTGAGGTTCCATAAAAAGGAACTTGCTCTGTTAATCATTTTGCTCTCCGCCAAACACTTTCAAATCGCTTTAAAGTAGTCTATGTATCACAAATGCCACTTCTGTGAGTGAAAGAGAAGACCTGCCGTTGTTTTCCTATGGGGGAAAGGGTTATAAAGGGAATAAAGACCAAAGCAAAACCTTTACTTAAAGAGATGAAATGAATTTAACTGAGGCTAAAGTGAGAACCTATGGAGGCATTAAAGATTAAAACGTTAAACTACTTTACCAAAACGGGCTTCCTTCACTTCCACCGCATTGTATACACTGTCTTAGAGCAGCCAGGTTACTTTAGAGGTAGTCATCGTATAAATGAGTTTCAAAAATAAATAAAGTAGGGTTCTGGTGAAAAGTGTTTCCACAGTTTCCTTTTAAGAAAGGGATTTTATGTTACCACTGCCTTGGAGAAATCTTCAATGAAAAAGTTTTAACGTTGAGGGATACTTTCTAACATGAAGATTTAGCAACTGCCAAACTCGGACTTTTAAGAATAGGGACTGGGGCAAGTACCGCTAATGAGAGGAAGCAACAGGTCAAAGTGACGCTTGCATGCGGCCTGCGCTTGGGAGGAAGAGACAGCCAGTATCACTAGATCTCATAAAACGTTAGGAGCCAGTCTTTTCGAAGCTGAGCCACCCAATATTAACCCACCTTCCTAAACTTAATGCCCGAGCAACTCCTAAGACTCTTCTCAGAAAGCAAGAAGTCTAAGGTATAGGACTGCCAACTGCTCCCGCCTAAGCTCGTCGTCCACTCACCTGAGGTCAGAACCCCGTGGTCTATACAGGCGCAGCCATGACAGCTTCCCCCGCGATCTCGCGTATCGCGAGGTTTTACGGATCCTTCATAGGTCAAAAAGCTTACGTTCGCGGCAGTTAGAGAGGTTGACTCCTTGAAAAGAAAGCCCACCCGAGAATGACTAGTTTTCTTGGGTTTGGGGTTAGGGACAGGGGAGAGCATAAGGCTTTTAAAGACAATATATGATCGTGTACCCCAACACCTAACAACTGCGGCAGGGCCTCAGATCCCGCGCTCAGCTTCAAAGTGCGCCTGCGCCACGTCGTGGTTGCTAGGAAACCGCTGAGCCGCTGTTTCTGGTGGCTGCTTTAACATGGCCAAATTCGTGCTTGCGGGTGAGTGATCCCCAAGTCCCCCCGTAGGACGCTCAAAACACCCAACGTGGTCATCTCCTTTCGTCTCTTGACAGTGATATTCTTAAAGTTTGTTCTAGCAACTCCAGCATCTCTATGGACCACCCGAAACTTCTTGTGAATTCATTCAAGATGTTTATTGGGCAGTGTCCTGTGCAAAGCACTCCCGTACACTGGAGATACCATGGGGGAAAACAGAACACCTGGGCCTTCGAGGAGCTTTCGGTCTCACAGAGTACAGAAGCTTGTAGATGAGAAATTTGGATCCACTGGAATTAATGAAATAAGGGAGATGTGCACAGTACTCTGGGAGACGTTGCAGGAGCTGATTTGTGAAGATTTGCGATAGGGAGGACATTCCAGATAAAGGCTAAAAGAGGCTAGAAGTCTCATGGCCTAATGGAGGAACTAGATATGGAGGAAGTGTCCCGACCTGGGGCTAGAATGGGAGCAGCAGCCCGATCCTTGCACCTAAAGTCCACCAAACAAAGGTGTTTGTACTGTGTCTTGAAAGCAATGAAGACTAGGAGAGTATCCTTAATGAGTTTGCATTTTAGGAAGCCCACCTTTGTAGCAATGTAGGGGAAGGATTGAAAACATCCACTGGCATCCAGAAAATCACTAAAGGGTTTCAGGAAAAGCAGCAGACTCTTGTACCTGCCTCCTTCCCTTCTCAGCAAATTTCTTTAAAGAGCAGACTGCTTTTTTTGTCTTCAGGCCCTCCATTCCATCTGGCTCCCACTTCTACCTCTTTTCAGATATAGTCTTCACCAAAGTCACCGATGACTTTTACAGAAGCTGTCCAGTCCTTATTTGAACTTTCTGATGCATTAACACAATTCACATCTCCCATCTGCCTGGAAATCTATTTCCTTTCCTTCTTTATTCATTCAGAAGAACATTTTTTATCACTGACTATTTGCTGGGAAGGCAGTGATACAGAAACTTACAGAGAATGGTGCTTGGGTGCCAGTGGCAAGGCAGACTCTGTAGAAGCAGTGTGGCAGGAGACCTCATTTAGTGGAGGCAAAGACCTCCCAGAAGGTCTTTTAAGCAGCGATCTGAAAGATGAGAAGGAGTTACCTAACAGAAAGGAGGTAGGGAAGAAGAGAGAGATTAAGCATAGGTGGCAGGGAGTGGGGTTGGAAGGAGGAAAGCTAGTTTGGTGATGATCGAGACTGTACAATAAGCAGAAGATGGAAGTAGATTTAGTAGGACTGGCGTAAAGGGTACAAAGGGAGAGAGTATCATAGGCTGAGTCCAGCATTAGTTACTATAAATTTTTGTGAGCCGTGTTTAGTATTTTAAATATTATCCAAAGTACATGGAAGGCTTTTTGGAAGGAGAGAACATAATCAAAGTTGCATCTTATCTGAATGTTCTTCTCCATGGGAAGAGAAAGATTAGATGCCAAGACCCCAGTTAGATGTGATAGTCCAGGAAGGAGATAGTGGTGGCCTGGTCTGGGATGGTAAGCAATGGAAATGGAAGGAAATGAATGGACTGGAGAGATATTGCAGAGGCATAATTCACAGCACTAAATATCTAATTAGGTTGAGGAGAGCAAGTAAGGGAGAAGTAAGAGTTAAAATTATTTCCAACCAATGGTTTGGAAAAATGGGTAGATGAGGAGTCACTAAAAAAAAATTGGAAAACTAGTCTTAATACCCTGGATACTCTTAATTCTCTTAAATAACTATGTAGGTAAACATAAAGAACATAAGAGAAGGAGCAGATTCAGTGGGGGGGAGTTCAGGCAAAATCTGTCCTAGCCATGCTGAGTGCCTATGAGACATTCAGAAGGAGATGGAAAAATCCAGGAAGGTGTAAACATCTTGGATAGTTCTGAATGGGATGTGCAGATTTCTACTTGAAACCAAGGGAGTGGAGGAGATTAGCCAGAAAGAATGCATAGAGTATGAAGATAAGGTGCAGTGAAGAAATTTATCCTTTTAGGGGATTGATAAAGGAATAAGAACCTACCAAGTATAGAGAGAATGGCCAGAGAAGTAGGACGAAAACCTTAAGAGTGACCCGACCGTAGCAGGTGTTCTAGAAGGATAGAAGAGGGCAAAGGTCAACAAGAAAATGCCCATGAGAAAAGAATCAAAAAGTATACATTGGATGTAATGACATGGAGGTTCCCTGTGCCCTTCCAGAGAGTCGTGGTTCAAGCCAGATTGCAGTGAGATAAGAACTAAATGGGAGTAAAAAATGGGATGGCAAGTGTAGAGGACTCTTTGAAGAAATTTTTATAGAAAAGGGCACATAGAATGCATTAGCTAGAGAGAGACATAGGCTTTTTGTTTTTTTAGGACAGGAAAAACTTAAATATAACTTTACTATATTTAAATATGATAGAAAAGGAACATTAAGAACAGAGACAAAATGTTGAAAGAGAGGCAGTTCTGCAGGTAGAAGAGAGTGGTATTCAGAGCACTTAAGTGGCGAGGTTAGACCTGGACAGGAGGTAGAAGCCATCGTCCATTGAAGAGGAGAAAAAAGGAAAGAATGAGTCCAAATGCAGACAGGCTTATAGGTATGATGATAGGAGGTTGGGAGATTTACCAACTGATGACTTTTTGTATGTTTTTGTAAAGTAGAAAGCAAGGTTGTCTGTCGTCTTCCAATAGTGTGGGAAAATAGAGAAAAGGAAGAGGTTTGCACGAAGTAGGCCACATTTGGAAGGGTAATTGTAGAGAACAGAAGAGTGTGCTGATAAGGAAAACAGGGGGAGCTCCAGGCAGAGTTGAAGGCCAGTTGAGGCTAGTGACCATGAATTTATGATGGCGCCTCTCTGCTTGGTTCTACCATGTTTCTCCAGGGGTACCTAGCGAATGAACCCAGAAACAGAAAAGGCAGGTGATTGAATTCATCCAGGGTGAGACATGTTTACCAGGCTCATTTGCCAGAAGCATAGTGGGGCAAATTAATTTAAAACATGAGCCAGAGAGTGGTTTGAATTCATGAACCGTGGATTTGAGCTCAACAGGGAGGCTAACAGACAGGGAGTGGGCGAGAGATTTGATGATTTAGAAGTCACCCTAACGTTGAAGAACTCATGACTGGGAGTCACTGGGGAAGATTGTTGCAGAGGAGGTTCTGCTCTCGGCCTCTGCCCTTCCTGCTCCATCAGACACCCAACCCCATTGACTCTGGTGGCTTTAACTTCATGTGTGTTGATAGCTACAAAATCTATATCTTAATCCCTCACGTGGGTCCTGTACTTGAGACAACACCTGCAGCTACCTGCTGGTCAGATCCACTTAGATATACTGCACATACCTCCAATGCACTTGTCTGTAACTAAACTTCCTACCTCTCTAGTAAGTGCAGGATCATCTGCGCAAGCCAGAAAACAGAAGTTATCCCAGACTTGTCTCTCTCCCTTCCGCTTCTCCTCCTCCTAGTACCACTCCCTGCAACATATAGCAAATTTACGTGTGATTTTACCACCACCCTTCACTTCATACTTTGCCTTTTAGTGGCTCCTAATGAGTAGTTCACTATTAGTAATTCATGCTTAGTTAGTAGCACGGCAGCCCCTTAGAGAAAGTGAGGTCTACCATGATACTGGAATAGAGTAAATATCCAATAGTCTTTTTCTTCTTTCCATATTTTATTACTTAAGATTCGGACCATCTATGAAATAATTTTTTTTTTACCTCTGTTAAAAATCAGAAGTTTATATGGTGGCAGTTATATAATAATTCTATGTAATAGAATATATCATAACTCTATGATTATTTCTGTAATTACATGCCAAATACTTATAACTGGATGATAATTTCTGTGTGATGTATGAAAATGTTGCTATTTTGAACTCTTTTAGGTAGAGCAGATTGCCCATATTATGCTAAAGCAGAACTTCTGGCAGACTATTTACAAAAGAATCTTCCTAATTTCCAGATATATAAAATTACACAACATCCTCAGGTTTGGGAGGTAAGAAGCCTTTCCATGTCTTCTAATTTAATGAAATATTAGCCAGTGTATCAGATAGTTTTCCAATAATGAACTTTTATGTACTACTGATATTTTTAACACTAATAAAATAAATTTCTATTTACTGGTCTCAAAATATTATGTATTTTCTTTTCCCAGTAGCTAGTAGAACAAATGAGGCCCTAACCAATCAGTGGAATAAATTTCACTATTTTTTCTCCCAAGAATCCAGGCAACTTATATTATCCTTTTTAACTTTTCATTGTCCTTCGCCTAATTTCTAGCAACATGAGACACTACCATACTGCTGCATCAGAGGGCTCAGCCAGCCTTGAACTCTGAAGTTGGGTGGCCCTTCAGAGACACCCTAAATAGAGGCAAGGTGGCTGGGCTTCTGTACTGACACAATTAACAGTCCTTGGATGCCAGCTGCCCTTGGGGAAAGGACTTAACTCTAGGCAAGGGAATGTCTCTGACCTCAGTTCCTATAGAGAGACTCAGCACTGAGCCAGCAGCAGCCAGTGCACCTAGTGGCCCAGGCAATGAGTGTCTTGGTCATGAAGGGGAAATCTGAAAGACATATGACAGGATCTACTACAGTTCACCAGCTGTGCCTTTGGGATCCATGTGCTCCGTATAATAAGTTATTTTCATCTGGGAACAGCTTTTCTGAGGTTCTGGTTGGCGTCTTTCCCTGAGGAAAATTTACAAGAAGATGGTTAATCAAAAGAACATAGTCTCCACTGCATATCATTTTAGGGCTGTAACTGACACTCGTCACCTTTCTTGTCTATGATCCAATGTTGATCCCCCTCCTGCTCTGCTTGTCCAGGTGACTTAGGATGTGTGATGAACTAGACCTGTATCCGTAGGGGTCTGAGTCCTAGTCTCCAGTGCATGTACACTTGCTGTCAAAATTGAGCAGAGCAGTACCAGGGATTCCCCAGTGGATCCCCTAGATGCCAAATATTCTTTCCTGCCCACATGCCCCAGAGCAGCAGTGCTGTTTACTCCTTCCAGGACAGTAGCTCCTTTCCTTAACTGCTGTCTCTTGGCACAGGAGCTCACAGTGACCGAGGAGCAGCCACAACTTAAAGTTTAACAGAACTCTTCCCAATAGAAACACCCTTGCACCTCTGGAACTTAGAACCTCCAGACCCATAGAATCTAGAGTAAGTGGGTTCGGGGAAGCACAATTTCTCCATGTGGGTCACTGGGAGTAAAGGTAAGCAGGATCACTCTTAATTCTGTCTCTTGGTTCCTGGGTTCATATATGTTACCTATTAGGGAAAAGCACCACATTGATTCATGGTATATGTTGCATCCTGAAAGACAGTGTTTCATCCTTACAGGATAACAACCTCTAAGCACCTTCGGTGGGCTGTCCTATCCCTCTATCAGGCTGCTATGTGGTGTGATATAGGATAGGGCCAGTACATCCCATGGTTACATGCCCAGTTCTATAAATGCTTTACTCCAAAGTGGTTCAAAGTGATGTTACTCAGGATCCCATGTTGCTAGGTTGAATGTTTTGTAAGCTCTTGGGCAGGGTGCTGGCCAAAGCCCCACAAGCAGAAAAAGCAGTTCTTTACTTTATATGTTGATTCCAGTCACATTGAATCACTGCCCTTTCTAGGCTGAAAGGGGTGAAATGTAATCACCTTGACACCAAAAAGCTAGTTAGTGTCTTTAAGGGATAGTGCCATTATCATGGAGTCAGTGTTGGTCTCTAGGGACATAGCATAACTTCTGTCTCCTTTGTGAGCCCATCGTCCCTTCAACTAAGACATTATCTGCTGGTTATCTTGTGCTTTTATCCTAATAGATGTTCTCTGGTGGGCACTTTCCCCAGCCTCTTTTATTTCAGGATTCTATCATCCCAGTCACCAGGGAGTCCAGCTCTAGAACAGCATGTCCTTTAAGATCCCTGGCTGGGAATGGACATCCACACCAGGCTTCTCAGTGGTGCCGAAAACATATCGCCAGCACAGTTCTTATCATTTTGATGAAAATGGTGTCTTCTAGGCCCTTCTGGAGAATGTAACTGACCAGTAGCTTCCATGCTTCCATAGTAGCATACCCACTCCAGCATGCCCACTTTTCTGAGCTTTTTGAATCCTTCTCCTATTGTCCTCCATGGACGTTCTGGCATTTCTGTTTCATTTCATGTGAGTCATCACTTTTTCCAAGCTTCAGAGAGCCATCTTAACAACTTGTTACCACTGTCTTCTGAGGTTCTTGCCAGGATATACACCACTGAGTTGCAGAAGAGTGATTCATATTGATAAATTCTCCCTTATCCAACCGTATGTTCTACTCTTGATTCTGCACCCTCAGGGTCCAGACCTAGACATATTCCTCCATCCTCTACCAAGACATCAACATGCCCCACTGGCTGCTGAAGGTCTTTTGGGGCAGAGTCCCTTTCCTCCAGGCACCCGGCACTTCCCTGGCCAGGCTCTATAATGACTAGGGGAACCATGGCAGAATCCTCACCGCAGCACTATTTGCTTTAAGGGGAGATAAAGGCACAGAGATCTTCAACATAATCAAGAGAAATCAGTTTCTGAGATTTTATGTGTCCAGTAGTCTCATTATACTGTGTCCAATGACAAGGGTGCTATCATATACTTTACTTTCTGGCTCTACTCAGCTCTTATCATTGGAAGGCCAGGTCTACACAAGCCAGATAATTATGATTTAAACTTTCTCTAATGAATATTATTAGAAATCCATAGATCATTTTTAGCTCATTAATGCAGACTGAATAACAAACTGTACCCACATATTTGGAAAGCAGTGTCAAATTTGTGGGCCTAAGCCTGAAAATATCTCCTTTGGAGAGCAAGGAAAGAACCAGTTGAATTTTTGGCTATCAGAGAAGTTAGAACACTTGGCTTCTCTTTTAAGCTAACTATTTTCATTCATGGTCTCCTCAGCAAAGAGAGCAACTTTCAGTACCTTTATTTGGTCAGCAAATTTGAAGAGTCGTCTTATTTGATTAATTTGTTACTTAACTCACTACTATTTTCTCTATTGACCTTTTACAATGTATAGATATCTAAATTTTATTATGTAAAAGTTTTACTACTCAGTGGTAGCAAAAAAAAAAGCTAGTTTGTGTTTAAATTCTGAAGTATTGAACTAAATTCTGACACAGATTCAATGGGTGACTTCTCTTGGAATATCATTCAACAGGAGTGGCTAAAAGATTTGTGTGATGAAAAGAAGTGGAATCACAAAAACTCCCCCATCATCTGGAGAGAGCTGTTGGATCGTGGAGGAGAGGGGTTGCTTTTAGGAGGCTATAATGAGTTCCTGGAATACGCCCAGGTATATGAATTAAGTTAATTTATTTTCTCAAAATATTATCTTTCTCTCACACTGTTCTCCAAATGTCTTGCTTTTCAAAGTATTCCCTCATCTCTCTTTTTACTCTATTCTGGCTTTAAGTAAGAACTTCCCATTGTGATTACTGTCAGCTAATTATGTATTCTCAGTGTTGACTTTTTCTTTCCTAATATTAGCTTTACTATGGTGTCACCTCTAGCATGACTACTGAGCTGATGGAGACAATTGCTCAGGAGAACGTGGAGGAACATATAGAAAAAGAATTGGAGGAAGAAGCCAGGAAAGATCTTGTCAATCCCTTGCAGGTCTGGATCACCAGGTGGGACAAACTCCAGAGTTCATGAGGTTGGGTGTTTGTATTTAGAAAGAAAAAGAATGTGGGATTAAGTCCATGGTGGAAGAACATCTGAATGTCAAGTTTAAGATCTGGATGGATGGATGGACGGAAAGAGAGAGAGACAGACGGATAGATATGTGTATATATACATATATCCCTCAATACGACTTCATATGTTTTAGTTTTTAAAGATTTTTTAGAAGTTTATTTATTTATTTAGAGAGAGAGAGAGAGAGAGAGAGAGAGAGAGAAGGCACATGTGCATGAGCCAGGGAAGGGCAGAGAGAGGGAGAGAGAGCATCCAAGTAGGCTCTGCACTGACAATGTGGAGCCTGATATGGGGCTCGATCCCACAAACAGTGAGATTGTGACCTGAGTCGAGATCAACAGTTGGATGCTCAACCAACTGAGCCACCCGGGCACCTCCACATTTAAGCTGTAGAATAGAGGTGTATGTATGCATACACACATACGCAATCTAAGAGCAAGTGTATAGTGAAGATAATTACTCTGATAACCCGTCTCCAGCTCTTGTCCCCATTCTGTGTCTCTCATGGCATCTGCTGCTCTTGTTCTTGCTCTGCCTTGCTGTCTTTTGCCCTTTCCCTCACTTTCTTTTCCTCTCCCCCTGCCACCTGACGGCCTGCTGCCCTCCCCACTTCCACACTCGCTAGAGCTGACCTTGGCTCTTCCTCTGTCCCCTCCTGTTGTGTGCCTGCCTCGGCAACCAGTGTTGTGGCTGGACCAGCCTGTGGTTCTTACCGTGACTGCGGGACACCCTCAGCAATCACCATCAGGGAACTGGGGAAAGGGGGTTGTTACTTACACCTCCTGGAAATTACATGGCACACATGGAGCCACCCAGTGACATCACTGGCACAGAGAGAGAGAGAAAGAGAGAGAGAGAGAACATGTGAACACATATGGGCCTGGGGCTCTGCTTTACTTGAGGTTGAGAGTGGGGGCCTACGGTTTTGTGGGCTCACTCTGTACTGCCGAATTTAAAACCTAAGAGTAGAAATTTAAAGCTTGGAAAGAGAAAAAACAAGTGGCCCAGATAGTCAACTACCTGGATACTTGCTGAATTATGGATACAGACCCATGATCCCGAGCTTCTGCTGACCCTAGGCTTCTCTGCAAGGATTTAGAAAAGATAGCCCTTTCCCCCAAAACATCATTACTTTGTAGCTAAGAGTATAAAGTAGAAAAGAGCTATGGTTAAATAAAACTTGTTATTTCTTTACCTTTTTAAGACAAAATGTAAACATGTTATCAGAGTAATATAATACCATTCTTTTAAATTCTGCCTTCTGCATGTTCTATTTTATTTGAAAAGCTTTTTAAAAAGGTACATTTCTTATTTTGGGATTGTTTTCAGAGGGCCCAGAGCAAGGGACAGTAGTGAGCATTTTTTTGTTCAACTTTTGCTTTCTTATCTTAGAAAGTCTAAGCAGTTGTGGATGCTTATTTAAGCTATTAGATCACCTTATTACTGCACGTGCAGAAATCTCTATTAAGAATAAAGGCTTAACAGGGGCAAAAGATTTAACCATTCATAATCTGGCTTTGCACTTTTACTAGTGCATCTGTACCTGCCTGCTACAACCTAATTCCCATCTTGGTAAGTGGCGAGGTGTTCGGAATGCAAACGGAAATGAGCATAAATCTATTTGACAATGAGCGGGCGAAAGAAGATCTCCACCTTCTCAGGACTGAGACTCAGGATCTGGTGGCGCCCTTGCTCCGGGGCGTCTCCGTGTGCACCAGCGTGGAGGATGCCTTCCGCCAGGCCCACGTGGTCATCATCCTGGACGACAGCACCGACCAGGAGGTGCACACTTTAGAAAGCTGCATCCAAAGCAGGCTTCCTCTGTGTAGGCTGTATGGAGGCCTGATCGAGAAAAATGCTCACGACTCCGTCAGAGTTATCGTGGGAGGAAAAACGTTCGTGAACCTGAAAACAGTTTTGCTTATGAGATACGCCCCAAACGTGGCACACAATATCATCGCTGTCGCGCTAGGGGTGGAAGGCCAAGCCAAAGCCATGCTGGCCAGAAAGCTGAAGACTACCCCCTCAAGTGAGTGAGCTTCTGTTTCCATTTCTGGTTTTAAACAGTGTGATTGCAAAGCAGCTAGGAAGAACACCGTACTCTTTAGGATTATTCTGGGTAAACTTACTGTGTGATCTGACTATTGTGCAAACATTTTCTTTCTTTCTTTCTTTCTTTTTTTTTACTGTTTTTCATGACTGGCTGACTTTGTCCATCATTATAAAAATTAGTAAACAGGGGCATCTGGGTGGCTCAGTCGATTAAGCATCCGATTTGGGCTCAGGTCATGAGTTCTAGCCCCACATGAGGCTCTGTGCTGACAGCTCAGAGCCTGAAGCCCGCTTTGGATTCTGTGTCTCCCTCTCTCTCTCTCTGCCCCTCCCCTGCTCTTGCTCTCTCAAAAATTAATAAACATTAAAAATTTTTAAATAAAAATTAGTTAACAAATGTTTCATGCAAAAAGCTATTTTTCAAGTTATAATTTGAAACCTAATATTCCAGTTTTCCATTATAATAGTCAACTAAGTAATCAGTGTTTTTAAAAATATAATCAGGGGAGTATTTAAGTGGCTCTACCCCACTGTGTGACCTTGGGCAACCACTTAACCTTGCTGTGCCTCAGTTTCCTCATCTGTAAAATGAGGATGTAATACCACTTACCTCCAGGAACTGATGTGAGGATTCAAAGAAAAATATTTCCAAAGTGCTTGGAGGAGTGCCCAGCATGGGGTAGACATTTGAGAGGGCATTTCACTTGTCTATGGGATTATATCTGAGCTTTTTGTGCTTCTGTTGGTCTTTGGACATCAGAATCCTGTGACCATGAGACTGGATCAGAAAATGGATTGGTGTATTTAAAAGGGGAGTGCTGTGTTTAAAAATATTTATTATGTTTGACAAATTTCAGCCATTGGGTAAAGGAAAGAGAGATGTGAGAGAGACAGCAGTCAATTTGAATTGTCAGCAGAGTAGCAATAAGAAACTCAGCACCAACAAAAATGTTGAGGCAAGGAGACCTGAAAGCAGAAAACCATCAGGGAGAATCATTCAGAGAAGAGTCCAGATACCAAGGGGGTAGCAGACCTTTTCAGGATATCCCTTGAGTTTAGTTCACACATAACCCTGTTTCTCAGACCATGTGCATTGGGCTTAGCTGGAACTCTTTCTGTTGCAAGTGACAGAAAGTCCACTCAAAGCGACTGAAGTCAGATAGCTTTTTGTCAGGCATAGATGGATGCTGGGGCTTAAATGATGATGTCAGGACTGGCTGGTTCTCTCTCTTGACTGATCCCTCAGCCCTGCTTTCCTAAGCATTGGCTCGAATCTCGGGCAGGCTCTCTGGAAACAAAAGTGGCAAAGTGGCCCCTGATGCCCCCAGACTCATACATTCATAGCTTAGCCACCCCAGTAGAAAGAGGGCTTGCTTTCTCAAATGTACATAAGTAGCAGGATAATATCTCGTTGGCCAGGCTTGGACCATTTGCCTGTCTCCAAAACAATTGTTGTGTCCAGAAATCTGGAATCTGGGTCTCGTGCCTATTGATAGACCTAAGGGGTGAGGACAGCCCCACCCAAACCATATGGACTGAAATTGAGAAAGGGTAGTTATTTAAAGGAAAACCAGGATGCTGTTAAAGAAAAACATTAGGAAGAAATGTTAGGAGGAAAAACAGCAGATGTCCACTATGATTTTCTCTAACAGAGCTAGAAAGAGCCTTCAATCTGATAAGCAGACTTCTTCCTGCCGCCTGCCTTTGCACACAGCCCTGTGAGAGTGTGAGGCCTGGAGCTGCTGCGGCTGGTTTAGGACCAGGCGGGACGGGCCGAGAGGGCAGCGTCCTCTGAGCCCTGAGCAAGCCTCAGTGTCACTGCCGACCTCAACCTGTTATCACAGAAGAGACGGGAACTCCTTCTAGTTAAGCCAAGGCGCAAGGATATTCTGTTACTTGAAACCAACAGCAATCTCACCTCATGCAGAACAGTAGAGACTTTAATCTCCACAAGAGGAAGTGCAGTGAACTTAGAATTAAGTCTTTAAGCGAAGAAATAAGTTAATAAGTAAGTCAATAAAATTACTTATTTTTCACTTTGGATACAATATTCCTAATAGATCCACAGTTTTAGAATCATATTAAAGCTTAATCACTATTTATCTCTGAGCCCCAGCCTCGTTTTTCTTCGTAGTACCTATCACTTTGTACAGTAGTCGCTTTGTCACCCACTCCCCTCCACCCTGAGAACGTTGCAAGGATTTGGACTGATATGTTTTCTTCTAAACCTCCCACCTAAAAGTGCCTCACACACAGAAGCTAATTCACTTATGTGTTGGTTAGGATGTTCCTGGGGTTCTCTTCTTATAACACCCTCACTCTGCAGAAAATGAATGGGGCGCCTGGGTGGCTTAGCCGGTTAAGCGTCCGACTTTCGCTTGGGTCATGATCTGGCGGTTCATGGGTTTGAGCCCCGCGTCGGGCTCTGTGCTGACTGCCAGCTCAGAGCCTGGAGCCTGTTTCAGTCTGTGACTCCCTCTCTCTCTGACCCTCCCCTGCTCATGCTGTCTCTCTCTCTCTCCTAGAAATAAATAAAAAACATTAAAAAAATTAAAAAAAAAAAAAAAAGGAAATGAAATTCACCCAGGAGTTAAGTGATTTGCCCAAATTTCGATTCCAGTCTAGGATCAAGGACTCTCTGTCAGAACCAAAGCAGATAAAAAGTTCTCTTCATGGCAAGCAGGGAGGGAAAAAGATCACACCGGTGGTATAATTTTCAGTAGCAATTCTCTGAGGGAGGATTTCAGTATATCTTGAATTCAATCATATGCCCACAACCTACACAGAGCATGATTAGGAACCGCCAAACCCTGATGATTCAGGAAATTATCCATGCCATTTTCACATTTTGGGGGGACCATAAACTAAGATCATATTATGGCAAAAAGATCAACCCTAAAACAAATGCGCAAAAAAAAAAAAAATAGACTGCCGGCAACTTTTTTATATATTAATGTTCATTATCATGTTAATTTCAAATTTCTTTTTCTTCACAGACATCAAAAATGTGATAGTTTGGGGTAATATCAGTGGAAATAACTACATTGATCTGAGAAAAGCCAGGGTTTACAGATACGAGAGTGCCATTTGGGGGCCTCCTAACTATTCACGTCCTGTTTTGAGCTTGATATTTGATAGGTATGGTATATTTTTAACTGAAGTATACTAACAATGGTGGATGAATGTATAATAGTTGTTAGAATCCTTTAAATCATCTTAGAAATCATTGTACAAAAATATCTTGGCATTATTCACACTCACCTTTGTTAATGCACTCTATTGAAGAAACATAGAAAATTCCACAGAATCTCAACTAGTCAATCCCCACACCCAATTTATTTGATTTTGCAATTATGAATTTTTATGTTAGACTATCCTTAAAGTAGCTCACATACTTCTTCAAATTTATTTCTAAAGCAAGCATATGTAAAGTGAGTCTTATTTAACACAGAGACATGTATCCAAATTGAAATTGGTGGAGACATTTGCGAGAGTAAGGAATTAAGATGGTGAGTGAGCTCAGGCCCGTGCTGGGTGCTCTGTCGCATGAGAGGCAGAACCCAGAATTGGTGAAGAGCACAGTCTCTAGAACCAAGCCACTTGGATTGAAATTCCATGAGCCGTGTGACTTCAGAGAAGTTCCTTAACCACTCTAGGCCTCTGTTTTTTCATCAGCAAAGTGGAAATGGTCACATATAGTATGAGCCTTATGGGGCCCTTGGGAAGATGAAAGGGATTAGTACAGGCAAAGCACTTAGAAGCAAGCCTGCTATGGTCAGCACTGCCATTACGATGGGCTGGGGGAGGGGAGAAGAGGGGGAGGCGCTCTGAAGCGTTTTTTCTAGACTTTGCAGCCCTTTTCCAGTTGCAGCATTTCCTTCCCATTGCCCCTTCCTCAGACCAGAGGCACTTCATCCATTCCCAGAAATTATGTGTCCCTGAGCCCACTCTTCTGGAGTGTGCTTCCTCTGGGTAGGAGCAGTATCTCAGGGAGCTGTGTCATGGTGGCTTAGCAGGAGCAGCCATTCAGTGCTTGTTCTGGTCTGGCTGGACGGCTCCCTGAACTTAAACTTTACAGAGTCTAACAACTTAGTTCTTTCCCCAGTCTTATGATATCATTTTACTTAGAATGAAGGATGCCACTGGTTCCAAAGATATCATCTACATAGAATAAATTCTTTGTAATGGAAGTAATTGTTCCTGCAGCCTTTGACCACGTTTCTGTGTTTTGTATGTGTTGTCATGTTTTTCATTTGACACTTTGGGATTCCTTTCTACTATATTTCATTTCTTTTTTCTTTTTATGGGATTGAAGAAGCTTGAATACTTAGATCCATTGATCCAAAGAACATGCCTTTTCATTTGCATTCTTTCCTCCATTGTAACATTGTTTCTTTGTCTCCTTATAGGGATTGGGTAAACAGACAGTTTGTGGCAACTCTTAAAAAGCTGACTGAGACAGGAAAACAATTTGGAAGCATCTTAGCTGCACACAGTATAGCCACTACGTTGAAATACTGGTTCCAGGGCTCACCTCCCGGGGAGATCGTATCTTTAGGAGTACTAAGTGAAGGTAAATCTGGTTTGTTTGTTTTAACATTGTATTGTTTTCAAACTTCCGTGTATGCTCCGTGCTCCTGCTTTCGTGTCCCCACCTTCTGCCTTATGTGATCTATAAACTGTCCAGATGTCCAGAGTTCCATTGCCATTTATGCATCGTGCAGTCCTTCAGTTATCCATTCAGAAGTCTGGGAGTGTTTGTGTGAACGCGCAGGGAGCACACCGGGATCAGACCTGGCCTCCGCCTTCAGGCGACCTAGAGCAGAGTAAAGAAGAGCCAGCTAACCAAAACTAAACCATTCCATCAAGTTTCTCTCACTGCATCCCAGCTGAGGAGGGGAAGGCAAGGTTGATTGTAGGCAGATGGCAGGAAGAATCGAACAGACTTCAATAAGGAGGTGACACTCCAGGAAGCCTTCAAGCTTGAGCGGTGTTGACGTGGCAGACATGTGTGGGAAGAACATCCTGCAGATGCCACAGGAGCAAAGGCCCAGCAGGGGCGGGACCCAGAGGGCCCAGCAGGACACGGATCCCAGGTCCCAGTGGAAAAGTGGAAAGCCCGCTCTCCGTCCACAAATACCACACATGCATTTTTCCAGCCTCGCTGCTGTCATTTGCTAAAACCCATTTCCAAGGACTTCTGCCATTTTTGCAAAGTAGGAAAGAGCCAACAGTTGATGTGCCGTGTTTTGTGGGTTTTATCTAAAGCACCTCTTTCCTTTGTGTTTTACTTTCTCCCTGTGCAAACTCATTCATGCCTAAAGATTCATGCCTAACGTTTCCCTATGAAAACATTGCCACCTGGATGTCATGTTGTCACTTCAAGCCAAAATACACCAAACTGAACTTATTGTCTTCCTCTCCCATGTGATACTCCTTATATTCCTTATTAGGAGAGCCACCATCTTCCCTGTTATTCCAGTGACTATAATGCAGCTCAAGGTAATCCCCCCAAATCCCCCAAGTCAGAATTAATCTGTCTCTCCTCTGTACCCACATAGCATTTTGTTCCTCTGTCAGAGAGCGTATTCCAGCCTGCCCTCGCTGGTGGTGTGGCTGATCACGTACGTACCCACCATCAGCAGACACCTACCCTGAGAGCAGGGCTGTGTGTGGCTGGGCCTTCTTGCTGCTTCATGGTTAGACATTCAGTGAATCTTGTTTCACTTGCAGTTAAGGTGATGAGCACCCTTTTACTGAATGAGGTGAATTCAAGTCAGCATGTTACCTTTTTAGTGTAATAGGCATTTAAAACCTTCTCTTTATTTGTAAACACTTTGCTTAAGCTCCGTAGGAATTCACCGATAAGCAATGCAATCAATTCTAGAGGTGAGGAGCATGTAATCATTGTCTCCCTGAAGCCATTTAGGTCCAGCTCTCCCATGTTGTCTACCGATAAGGCTGGCTTTTTACAGATAAAAAAGAGTGAACAGAGAACCTTGGGTGCTCTCTAAGGAAGGACCTTTTAGATCCTGGTTTTTTTTCTTTTTCTTTTTTTTAAAGATTAATTTTTCTTTTTTTTTTTTTTTAAATGTTTTATTTATTTCTGAGAGAGGGAGAGAGACAGCATGAACAGGGGAGGGTCAGAGAGAGAGGGAGATACAGAATCTGAAACAGCCTCCAGGCCCTGAGCTAGCTGTCAGCATAGAGCCTGATGCAGGGCTCAAACCCACGAACCGTGAGATCATGACCTGAGCCGAAGTCAGACGCTTAACCGACTGGGCCACCAGGCGCCCCTAGATCCTGGTCTCTTGACTGTCCTCTCATTTTTGTTCTCCTGTCACCATTTTTGATGACCAGACGGTAAGAATGATTTTCTCATTTGATCGAGTTACAAAAAGAGGAGGCAGTTTTCTCTGTATGTTGTTCAGTTAGTGGTAAGTATTGTCGATCTTTTTATTTGGAACACATCCAAACTGGGCCCTGGGAGCTGCGGGGAATCCGTCGACTTTCCCTCCCACCCCCCCATCGCGGTGCTCACACCATAGCTGCAGGCCAGCCACAGCAGGCTAGCAGAGCAAGGCCAGGTGGACAGGTACCTTGGGGTCTTGGGCTACTGAGGCATCAAGGAGAGGCCACAGGGAGCAGACAACAGGTATCCAGACAAAATGGAGGAGAAAGACTGCACTGGCCCCTGAGGCGGAGGCAGGGGATTTGAACCAAGCCAGAGGAGACAGAAGGGACGACAAGAGAAGCAGTAGGTCTTCTTTCAGAGAGAAGCACGGAGGACAGAGTTGTCAGAACTTGGAGAGGTGCTCAGGCAATACTTCTGGAGTAAATGCTTCAATCCTCCCAGGAGAGAAATTGTCAGAAATGTAGTTCCACCGTTATCCTTAAAAATCATATGCAGTGTCTGTCCTTGTATACAATGCTTAACGTGAAGGGTTTATTGTTCTGAGCGCTTTTGCTTTGCTTTGCTTTGTGTTTGCTCACTACAGGCCAGTTTGGTATTCCTGAAGGGATCGTCTTTTCTATGCCTGTAAAATTTGAGAATGGAACTTGGGTGGTTCTTACGGATCTCAAAGATATTGAAATCAGTAAAAAAATAATAACCAGAATGGCAAGTGATCTAATTCAGGTAATGTCCAGCTAAATACAAGAGCGCTGACTCTGATACTGACTATAAACTGATTCCTCTAGGCTAAGACAAATACTGATGTTCTTGGATTCAATTTGCATCTTATTCCTAAAAACAATAAGGAGGCAGTAAGAGTTGGAAGAAACCAACAGAAGAACACTACTCGTTAGGTTATATTTCTGGCATGTTAAAAATATTTGTTGGTTACCTAAAAAATCAAGACTCAAAGTGTTTTTCTATTGAAGAATGATTAACTTAGCAATTGTGGCCATTTACTTCTCTGATTATAAAATTTTTCAACAGGAGAAACTTGTTGCACTTGGAGATTTGATCAGTTTTCAGCCCTATCAATCAGGTAATCTTTTAGATGTGACATTTTATTGTGCTGTTATTAAAAGACTACTAAAATAGGTGTTGAAACGGAATATTACTCAGCCATCAAAAAGAATAGAAGCTCACCATTTGCAGTGATGTGGATGGAACTAGGATATATTATGCTGAAGAAACGAAGTCAACCAGAGAAATACAAATACCACATGATTTTATTCATATGTGGAATTTAAGAAACAAAATAGTTGAACATATAGGAAGATGGGGAAAAAAAGAAGAGAAGAGAGGGAAACAAATCACAGAGAATCTTTTTGTTTTTTTATGTATATTTACTTAAGAGAGAGAGTGCATGTGCACATGCAAGCAGGGGAGGGGTACAGAGAGAGAAGGAGAGAGAATCCCAAGCAGGCTTCTTGCTGTCAGCACAGAGCCTGACCTGGGTCTTGAACCCACAAACCATGAGATCATGACCTGAGCCAAAATCAACAGTTGGATGCTCAACAGACTGAGCCACTCAGGCACCCCACAAGAGACTCTTAATGACAGACAACAAACTATGGATTGATGGAAGAAGGGGGGTAGGTGATGGACTAGATGGGTGATGGCTATTAAGGAGGCTATATATGATGAGCACTGGGCATTGTATGTGAGTGATGAATCACTGAATTCTACTCTGAAGCCAATGTTGCACTGTATGTTACTTAACTAAAATTTAAATGTAAAAACATAAATAAAATAAAACAAGATCACCATAATCATCCATTAAAAAATAAAAGAAAATATTTGTTCAATGAGAAAGAATGAAATCTGGCCATTTGTAGCAACATGGATGGAATCTGAGGGTGTTATGCTGAGCGAAATAAGTCAGGCAGAGAAGGACACATACCATATGTTTGCACGTATAGGGGGATTAGGAGGAACTTAATGGAGGACCATGGGGGAGAAGAAGGGGAAGAATAGTTGGAGAGAAGGAGGGAGCCAAACCATGAGAGACTCATGAATGCTGAGAACAAACTGAGGGTGGATGGGGGCGGGGAGAGGGGAAGGGAGGTGATGGGCATGGGGGAGGGCATTTGTTGGGATGAGCACTGGGTGTTATATGGAAACCAACTTGACAATAAACTATTTAAAAAATAAAAAAAAAGAAAATAATCTCCAAAGTGTAGAGTGAAGATAAAAAAATATTTTTTGAAACTGAATTACTGTTTAAAATTGATAACTATAATCCACATTTTATCACTTTTAAATGAAATTATTGACAAAATAAACTACCAAGCTCAGCGTGTCCTTTGAAATAAAATATCTCATAAAAATGCTAAAGAAATTACATCTTAAAAACAGTATGACCTTGGGGCACCTGGGTGCCTCAGTTGGTTGAGCATCTGACTTTGGCTTAGGTCATGATCTCATGGTTTATGGTTCAAGCCCCACCTTTGGCTTACTGCTGACAGATTGGAGCCTGCTTCAGATTCTCTGTCTCCCTCTCTCTCTCTCTGCCCCTCCTCTACTCAGGCTTTCGCTCAAAACTAAATAAACATTAAAATAACATCTTTTAAAATAACATCTTTCAAAAAACACTATGACCTTATAAATGTGTGTAACATATGTATTCATTTCCCAGAGCTGCCATAACAAATAACCACAAACTGGGTGGCTTAAACAATGGAAACTTATTCTCTAGTGAGTAAATGAGACTAGAAGTCCTACATCAGGGGCATGGTCCCTTTGAAGGCTCTACGGAAGCACCCGTTCCTGCCTCTTGGAGCTTCTGGTGGCAGTGTTTGGCAGTCTGGGCTAGAGCTGCGTCACTCCAGTCTCTGGCTCTCTCTTCACATGTCAGTGTTCTGTGTGTGTGTCTGTGTTTCTTCTTAAAATGGACACAGTCATTGCAATCCAGTATGACACCATGTTAACATGATTAAATCTGCTAAAACCCTATTTCTGAATAAGGTTACATTTGCAAGTATTAGAGATTGGGACTTCAGCCTACCTTCTTGGTAACACAGTCCAATCCACAACATCCCATTTACTTTTAGATCACTTAAAAAAAAAAAACCAATAAATTCTAATAAGCTTATTTTTCTCATAGGCAGTTTCTCTAGTCCTAAACTCACAAAGAAGTGCTATCATCTTTCTTTAATCTCTACCTATTGAAAATATTTAACAATCAGTATGGCACGGATTGCACCCAGTCTGGCTCTCCGAAAGAAGCAACTGGTAAAAAGAACTGGTAGGGGACAGAGAACTGTTCATGGTCCGGACTGGAGAAGTTTTAGTGAGGTCAAAGCGTTGCAGAAGGGGAAAGGCAGAGAGACGAGACCTTGAGGAAAAAAGATTCTGGGCAGAGAGGTGGGCTTTGGGAATTCAGACCTGGTTCTGCCTGGTGGTCAAGTCACCAGGAATGGGCAAAACCGAATGAAGCCCCAAAGCAGCATCAAATCTGAAGGTACGGACTCAGAAGTCCAAAGAGCAGTTGATTTTCACTGATTTATTCCAAGAATTTCCAGGCGCTCTGTGAGGTGTCTTGCTTTTGCAGGGTGGAGCTACCCAAATTCCTTTTCTGAGAATTCTCAACGTGACTCTTTTGATTGGTAGTTAGTTCTAAATTTTCCGTAATACTTATAGAGGATTTTGTGAAAAAAGAATAATCTGATTTTCTGCTATTTTCATTAACAAAGGTCAACGTGCGTGTGCGCGCGTACACACACACACGTATGTATGTATGTATGTATGCATGTATGTATGTATGTATATATTTGATTGATCTTGACTCTGTCACCTTCAGACCTTGCCCAAACCACTGTTCCAGAGATTCCAAGATCAGAGCTTTGAAAATAATAAGAATTTTGCACAGTTTGGAGGTCTCTGCTTATTAACATATCAATGAGATGATTCATGTATGAGGTTTATTTAATCTTTTCAATTAATTTAATACATAACTTCTTGACTTTTAGAAACTGACTTAGCTAAAAGATATGAAAAGACCACCTTACCCACCACATATATCAACCAGGAAAATCAAAGAGTCTCAGAAGGTAGGTATATCAATTGAAAAAAAAATGGCCTTTTTATTCAAGGTCTAACATTAAATTTCAAAGAAAGGAATTGGATCATCTATTAACCATGAAGGGGAGGTAAGTCTTTCATCACCCTCATCCTATATTCAAAAATCAGATCATATTTAAAATCTGTTAAAACCTGTGAAGAAAATGACCAGATATTCATTGAGCACCTTCGGTATGCTGGTCACTGTGAGGGACACTGGGGGACGCAATAACAGAGTTGTGGTCACACAAACATGTCTTGGGAAAGGAGCCATAAGGATATGGAACAGTAAATGCAAAGGTGCACAATTAACTAAACAGGTCAATAAAACAAAGCAAGACAGGTCAAAAGTAAAGAGAGTATAATAATGAATCTGGAAGCTCACAAGGAAAAGAGGGGTCGTTGTAATATATGAAGGAGGAAATTTAGTCATATCTTAAAATTTAGTTGGGACTTACAGTAGCTAAGATAATCAAATGGTCGTATATTTAGCTATAAACTGTGATAGTTCTGTCACACAAGCTCAAAATATTCTAGAGATCTATCGTACAACAATGTGTACATAGTGAATATGGTGGCGTATGCTGAAAAACATGTTAAAAAGGTAGGTTTCGTGTTACATGTTTTTAGCATAATACAGAAAGAAAAAGAAAGAAATCATACTAGATTCTAGAGACATTAACGTAAATCAAATCTTGTTCTCAAAGTGTTCACCATCTCACATGGGAAACAGCAAAGCCAATTTAAAACTACCCAATTGAGGGGCGCCTGAGTGGCTCAGTCGGTTAAGTGTCTGAGTTCTGCTCAGGTCATTATCTCACAGCTTGTGAGTTCAAGCCCTGCATCGGGCTATGTGCTGACAGCTCAGAGCGTGGAGCCTGCTTCGGATTCTGTATTTCCCTCTCTCTGCGCCTCCCCTGCTCTCTTTCTCTATCTCTCTCTCTCTGTCTCTCTCTGTCTCTCTCTCTCAAAAATATAAAAATAACTACCCAACTGAGAAGGAAGTGGTATGCCGAGAGAGGCCCGGGCATAATGGAACCACACTGGGGGTCTCCTGACATAGATGGGATCATTAGCAAAGGCGTTCAAGAAGAAACAAAGTGGGAGTGGACCCTATAAGGAGGAGTAGGAATTACTCATGTCATGTAGGGAAAAAGAAGCATGCAAGCGGAAGGGTAAAAGAGGCTGTGAAGGGTGCACCACCAGAAGGAGGCACATGAACAAAGGAGACATTTCGGGTGACCGAGGCATGACCAGAAGTGTGAACCTGAGGCGGTCTGGAATTGTATTCAGAAGACAATAAATAGAGTAGCCGGGCTAGAGGAGAGGATCTCAAGAGGATGAATAGAACTGGAAAAGGCAGATGGAGGCAGTTCGGCCGAATGGTTGGTTGAGAGCTCAGCAAAACAGCTGGTGGACGGCTAGACAAAGCATGAAATGGATGGTCAGGCTTCGAGAACTAATGTGGCTTTATCATTGGCCCCTAGAGGACGACGGAGCAGCCCAAGTCAGTGTCTGCAGGACCGTGCTGAGCTCAGTCCCATACAGAACAGATACTTTAAGAGGCCCAGTGAGACAGTGTCTGCAGGGATCAGGGTGTCAGCACTATTGTTCCGATGAGCTCGCTGGCACTAAGCAATACTCAAGGAAAGGAGTGAGGGCTCCGAGGCCCTGGTGAGAGAACTGAGAAAAATTTGGAAGATCTGTCATGGTGAAGGTGACTGGCAGCTTCCCAGGATAGACGGAGAAAAGCCAAACTGTAGAGTATCTATTCCTGAGTTTCAGCATCAGACCAATCTAAGTTGTTAATTAAAATGGCAGGTTCTTAGGGGTGCATGCGGGGCTCGGTTGGTTAATCAAGCATCCAACTCTTGATTTCAGCTCAGGTCATGATCTCACGTTTCATGAGTTTGAGCCCTGAATTGGGCTCTGCACTGACAGTGAGGAGCCTGCTTGGGATTCTTTCTTTCCCTCTCTTGCTGCCCTTCTCCTGCTCTCTCTCTCTCTCTCTCAAAAAATAAACTAAAAAAAATTTAATGATAGATTCTTAGATCCTCTACAAAGTCATAATCTTACACAGACTAAGAATGTTAGTGGTGATAACATAAAGAAAATGGGGTTCATTTCAGGTTGTTTTGGGGCTATTTGTTGAATGAGCATCAAGAATCAAATATCATTTAATAGTGCTTTCCACAGTGTGAGTTTGGTGAGTCATAAAAAAATTTTGCGGGTTGCAAAACCAGTTTAACAACGGGCATTTTTTCCTTGAACTGGAATAAAATTGATAAGAAAAAAATAGTGAGAAGACCAGAATTGTTTTCCCCAAAATTCTATGCACTTGAATAGAATAGAAAAACAAAGATGAATAGTAAAGATTAGAAAAGTGTAAGTATCGCTTCGTGTAACTTTTTTTGTTTTATTAAATGCACACAAGTGCACATACTAGACTATAATGTAAAATACATTTTTAACTGTGAGTCCTAATCAACAAAGTTGGAAAAACACTGACCTAGAACATATTATAGATGGTTAGTTATATTCTACATCCAAATTATTTTTTAATTTTGGTTTTAGAATATAAAGATAGAAAGCATTCTGATCTAATCCAAGATGAAGAAAAAGACCCAGTTATGTCAAACAGTAAGTCAATCGAGTCATAAGCAATCTCTGTAGTGCTAATGGTCAGGACTCATGCAGTCCAGTCTAAGACAATGACGATGCAGCCAGAAGAACATAGGCCAGCTCTTGAGACTCCATATAAAAGCAATCTGGTTTCTGGCAGCTCCCAAAGAGTGAGGTATTCGGAGAAACTTGGAGTAGAAGGAAAAAGAGGAAACGAGAAGAACTGCAAAAAATCAATGTGCTTCAGATACTAAAATCTCTGTTCTTTTCATTCTCTATTTACTTTGGTGGGTTTTTCAGATGTGACTCTTCTAACCATCTCTGAAAAGCCATACAGTCAAGCACCCTAAGTGGTAGGTGGGAAACAAAACATTAACTAGTCTTTTTCTTATTCTATAAATAGAACTGGGTAGAACCAATCCAGTGCCCCCCAGATATAGTTCTTTCCAAACCCTTTCCCTATCCCTCATCCCCAGGTACTCAGCTTTGCTTGCTGATGCTTCTGGATCCTACCTTCCTACATTTATAACCAGGCTATGTCAATGACAACTGAATCCTTCCCTTAGAATGAGTGTGTAAGGAAATGGACACAGATAGATCTGTGAGTCCAGATTTTCAAAGTCTGTAACTTAGTTGTCATGGTATTTTATGAAAACAAGGCTGATGTAGACTTCTTTATGGTTGACCAGCCAGGATATTCACCCACACCTCCACACCTCCACACTTTTATTTAAATATCCAATAAAATGGACAAATCCATTGTACCTTCCATTCTGAAAATGTACAGTGTAATGAGCTTTGGAGTGGGGCTTACCACAGGGAATTAGAATTGGTACATAGATGAGAAGCTGGACCAAGAAAATAAATGGAACTGACAATATAGCTGCAAATAAACTTGAGAATGGGAAGCAAAGGAGCCAAGGGGCACTGCATATAGAAACAGATTAAGGTGAGGAGGGAGTTTAGAATGTAGTTTTGCTGTATACAAGTACCTAACAATGGTCTTGTGATTCAATGTCCCTCATAGATAGAATCTCTCTCATGCACATACTCTCCCTCAATCAAATAAGTTGGAATACAGGAACCCAGGAAACAGAAGAAAGAGGAGAGCAAACAAAAGCTAATAAAAATATAGGTTATTCATAGATTTTTAAATAGTTATACCTTTTTATTCTCTTCCTTTTACAGAGTCTGCAGGCAAAACTATGGAACAGCAACAGATCATATGAGACCAACTATAAAGTTATTTAGTAATGTAATAAATATGGAAAGACCCAAGAATGTCTGTATTTAGGGAAGAATAATTTGAAAAGATTGACCTTCATATTAGATAATGTTATGCTAGACAATGATAGTGATAGCACACACACAAAAAAGCGAGTTCATTTTGTGTCACCCAAATCCACTCATAGGTTTGCTTATTGTCCCATTGTCACCCATATTGTCAATTGCTATTTTTTAAACAACTTTAAGATACAATTGTCAGTCACTGCATCCTTGCCAGTATCTCCTTCTAGGAGAACCTGCTTCCTCCCACAGGCCATACCTCAGCCATGGGCATAAGCAGCCATGTTTGCTTAACGGGTCTCACCACCTTGGCTTCATCTGATTGTACCAGAAGAAACACCTTACTCAAAGAGAACCAATGAGATTTTTTTTTTCTCACTGTGTCCAAAAATTTACACTGAGAAAAGATGGATAAGTAAGTTGGTGTCTGGATGATGGTAATGCTAGTGAACTAAAGAAGGCCACACAGTTCTGCTGTGAGGTTTTCAGAGCTAGGCAGGCTCACACCTTCATAAGATCTGGCTGTGTATCTTTTCTCCTTGGATTTACTTGGGATAATTATCTTTACAATAAATACACTTCTACTTTAGCTTAGATTGAATAGGTTTCTGTTTCCTCACACCAGATGTGGCCTGAAAATAAATAGAATTTTGAAAGGAAAGCCTAATATTTTTACCATATAATTGCATGGTTTATGTAAAAATTACAGTCTTTATTAAAGCAGTAGTAGTCAAACCAGTATGCTCATATATTTTCAAGCTAATGGAACCCTTTACAAATGCCAATTAGGAGCTTTGGAAAGCCCAGGAGTCATGTTAAAAACTGCTGATATCTGTGCTTTCTCTGTAGTTTAAATAGCCCTTACAGTACAAATTACCTTCTGAAAATTCAGGGAAATTTCAGATACTTCTTCATTGCTTCTACACCGTTATGATTCAAGGATGTGACTAACTTCTGCTTGTTTCCAAAGTCAGCACCTCACTTGATGTTATTGTAGAGAAAACTTAACGTCTGTCAGCGTTAAGGACTTGGGGTGAGGTTTTGTGCCCTAATCCCACCATTTCCCCTGCCCCTCCTTGTGGTATCCTCAGCCAACGGAGTGTGACCACAAAGAACAATAACTGGGTGGGGACTCACATGGTGCTGTACGCACAGCTGGGCATGAATGTGGCAGTTGTTGCTCAACATATAGGGCTTCCTCATGGTAAAACTACGCTAGACTGGAAAATGGGGCTCAGACCAAGACACCGAAACAAAGCTTCCTGTTCCATTCCTCTTGAATCAGGTATGCTGGTCACTTATCAACGGGAACCAGCTGGAAAAGCTGGAATAGAGAATATAACCAGAAACATCCATCACCTTTCAAGGCAGTGGTCCCACCCTTTAGTGATATGCTGTCCAGTGGGTGAAGCCCTGACCGTTCAGATAATCAGCTGCTTCTCTAATAGGTGGACCTCTATAAGGAGCTAGAGAGAGATAGGGCAGAGTTTCTCCTTTTCAGAGACACTGTAGAACACATCCAGTCCCATCTCCGGCAGGCTATTCTTTCTAGCTTGGACATAAGCTATTATATGTTTGAAACCCTATAGGATGGCCAGGGCACTCTAGGATAGACTCCCATCGGAGCACAGAACACATGGATATTAATCATTACGCATAATATCACACATTTATGCCAGATTGGTATAAGATATGGAATTACACCAAAAGGAAAATACTAGTGTTTGCTTTTTGTTTAACAGTGACACTGGCACCATTTCAAAAACATCTCTCAGAGTGTTTTGTTTTGTTTCAGCTAATGCATTAGCTGTCACAGTAGCCTGATAGGTATAATCGACCAACCTGGGAAATCTCAAGCCTAGTTTTCCCATTAGAAGTAACTTTCATACGAGGTTCTTAAAAATAATTTCTTTATGTTATTAAAACTGTCACAATAAAGTCATGCGGGAGAAATATTCAGTAGGAAATTTAGAATATTACTAGAACAGAAGCATTATGTGAGTAAAGTAATTATTGGTCACGGAACTATAGGTTAAGTATAGATGTCCTTACAACCATAGCATGCACTGTTACTTGCTCCCCCTACAGCTTCCCCTGACTAACAGAACTCCAGTGGTATTGGGATGTACAATAGGCCCAACCCTAGGGCATGCATCTTGTTAGATGTCATCTACTCTCATGTCCTGGTGACAGGTATGTGATTTGGTTTTGTGCAGTGATACATAAGTCATCTGGAGGTGTGCGGGAGGCAGACAGGGTAGGAGATGAATAAATGGCATATGAAAAGATAGCACTCGGGCTCCCACCTACTTCCTTCCTGCTTAAAATGCTCTTCTGCAAGGATAATAATGCTTGCAGCTTGGGCAGCCATTTGTGGCCATGAGGAGACATGTGACCAGTATGGTGCCACCAGGAAGGTAGCTGTGTGGAAAGAGAAAAAGCCTGGCACCTGGGACTGAGACCTTGATAATTAAAAGAGGCTCTGAACCAACTCTGGACCAACTTCAGAATGTCTGTCAAATAAACAATAAGCAACTTTATGGTTTAGACCCCTGTTAGCTGTTAGCCAATGACTATATACACTTATGGCCAACAGCTATATAACCTGATAGAGAAATATCTTTCTATTATTTGTCTCAGAGGAACAAATAAGAAATATATTTAGATAATTTAAATAACTGACTTCTCCCACTCAGCCAAGCTTAAAACCTTTATTGACTCCTATATTTGTAATATTCTTCCTAATTCCAGTTAGTAAATGTCTAGTTTGGTCCTAGACGTGTTTTCTAACATTAGCATGAATCATAATCATCTTTTTAAACAGATGGCTGGGCTTCACCTCTAGAGTCTCTGATCCAGTAGGTTTTAGGGAGAGCCGAAGAGTCTGCATTTTTAACAAATTCTCAGGTGATGCTGATGCCGCTGATCTGGGGACCCACACGTGGACATGCACTGCCTAGCCTATAGGCAGTCACCCTCTAAGTCAGCCACATCCCCAGTTCCCTCTACTCACACCTACACCACAGATAGTTTAGTCTGAGTTTCATTTTCTGACCACAGGATTCCTCTCCATACTCACCAGTACATTGTTTTAGGTCTCCTTAATGCCATCCGGACTGGTCCGCCATAACCCTGTGAGTCTTAGGTTTGTGCCCTGCCTGCTTTTGCTTTTACTTATACCATTTGCCCTGCCGGAATGTCCCCAAACCTTATCTCATTGAAGCCTCTTTAGGTCACACATAGTGGGTGGCCTTCCCTCTCTTGACCAAATCCTTATTTCTTTCTATCTCAGAAGAAAACTGTGGGACTCCAACATCCAGAAATAGGTAAAGGGGCTTTTTCCTGCCTCTACTCCCTACCAGGTACAAGTGGGGTTAGTGTCCTACATAACTGTCATTTGCTCCTTTGCTGGCCTTAACATAAACATCTTTAACTCTAAAATTGCCTTGGCCCAGAGCTGAATGCTCACACATTCTGCAGAGGACACAGAAAGGTTACTCAAGCTTATAGCTGAGCTACTGGAAGCAAAACTAGTAACCCTCCCAAGAGTAAGCAGCTGCTCCGTCCTTCACATTAATTTCTTCTGGGCAGAAATTATGAGCCCACAGAGACATCCAACCACAACTTTCTCACTTCACTGGCACAAAAAAGAATGATTTCTATACAAAGGGTCCATAAGCAGGGTTTTTGGAGAATGCATACAGTCTCCTCCCTTCTCACAGGTATGCTGCCTCTCCCTGGGACAGTGGCCACAAACTGGAGTTTGGATTAGATCAGAATGCTCTCTATCTTTATATTCTAAAACCAAAATTAAAAAAATATATTGGATGTAGAATATAACTAATCATCTATAAAATGTCCTAGGTCAGTGTTTTTCCAACTTTGTTGATTAGGACTCACAGTTAAAAACATATTTTACATTATAGTCTAGTATGTGCATTTGACGGACTGTATGTGCATCCATGGACAAGATCTTTTAGGGACTTGTTTTATAAAATTCCCAACCTGCACCCATCCTTTTTTTTTTTTTTTTTACCTAAGATGGCAGAATTTCAAAATTCCTTCCATATTGGAACCTTAAATAGGATGCCCTCAAATGGACTGATTTAAAATGTTTTTATGTTTATTTATTTTTTAAGAGAGAAACAGAGAGAGTGAGTGGAGGAGGGGCAGAGAGAAAGAGGAAGAGAGAGAATCCCAAGCAGGCTCTACACTGTCAGCATGGAGGGGCTTGAATTCACAAACCATGAGATCATGACCTGAGCTGAAACCAAGAGTCAGATGCTTAACTGATTGAGCCACTGAAACGCCCCTGGGCTGATTTTAATCCGTAGAGAGTTAATGTGTGTTGCTGCTTATTGAAACATAGTTCAGTTGGAGGCCCAATTTACTCCCTATACTTTCCATTTGCCTCCTTCCTAAGCCACCAGGAGAGAACCCTCAGGTGGTGTCATTTGGTTCACGTGTGCCTACCCTGTTGAAGAACTGGGTTTTCATTCTTGAAGAAACTCATGAAACTGCATGCTTCTTATAAGTTCACATACTAATTTGTGCCAAAATGCCCTTCGTGCAACTTAGCCAAGTAATTATGAAGACTGTTTTGAGTATTTCATGAAGCCTATGAAGTTGGAACAGGTAAGTCATGGGTGTGAAAGCTTTAATTTATCTACCTCACTTATTTTTATTTTTGTAGCCATCATTTCTGTTTTCCTATTTCATGACCGCCAAAGTGTTCCGACGCCCTGTCTTCAACCTGAGTTGATGTATGGTGGGAGTGATTGGACATTTAAGATACCTTTATGGTTCTTTGTTTTAAACTTCCCCCTTTTCATATATGTAATGTGAAGCAAATGAGGACAGATTGCTCTAATGGTTTAACAGGAGAAAGAAAGATCTTAATTTATCAGTGGAGAAGTCTCCTTCAGTGTGGAAAAGCAGATAAAGACTGTTATCAAAAGTTTGTCTGTGTTATTGCACTTGACTTTAGGATCCAAAAAAAATTTTTTTTGCCATGTTGTGCCTTTCCTCCTGGAATTGTAAGTTGAATACAATACTAGCACCTGTTTACAGTGTGAAGTAGATACTGTCATATTGAATGTAGGATCTATGGAGAAACCCCTGTAGTTTTACCTGCTGACGCTGTCTTATTGGAGAATACATTTTGGATGTTTTGTTCCCTTCCCTCCTCTCCCCCCCAAAATGCTTTTGACCCTTGTCTTCTAAATTCTGATAATATTCACTATTATTTTTTTGAAGTATGAAAGAAAAGGAAAGTCAGCGAGTCTCCAAGGAAGTGGGGTTAGTACATGGGTGATATTACCTTGGTAGAATCCACCACCAGAACCCATCCTTCATCTTTGAGGATTAGAAGTATAGTTTGCAGACACCATTAGTGATCTTCACATGACTAAGAACAAGACTAATGATGGAACAAGAATGCCACTTTATAAATCTTAGATTCAAAATAGAACTACCAAGGATACCAGATGTCCACAGCTCCAACAGTGAATTCACTTCCTGTGCAAGCTAGATGGAGGCAAGATTACAATCAGAAGGTTTAGAGTCAGAACAAGGAAAAAGTATTTAGAT